TGCTAATTATTATTATTATAAGCATTATTATTATCATCACCATTAGCTGATTCCACTGATTGTCCCCTGCTAACTACTGATTTCTCTCCTTTTAACCTTCAGATTCAGCCAATGTCACAATGAAAAATCTCACCACACTGACCGACTTCATTCTTCTGGGACTGACAGATGCATCTGAATTCCAAGTTGTGGTTTTTCTCTTTCTCTTTCTCATCTATATGTTCAGTGTCATCAGCAACCTGACCATTATCACTCTCACTCTATTGGACTCCCACCTGCAGACACCCATGTATTTCTTCCTTCGGAATTTTTCCATCTTAGAAATTTTCTTCACATCTGTTTTTACTCCCAGAATCCTACTGAGCATCTCAACAGGCAACAAAACCATCAGCTTTGTTGGCTGCTTTCTTCAATACTTTTTTGCCATATTTCTGGGGGCCACAGAGTTTTACCTTCTGGCTGCCATGTCCTATGATCGCTATATTGCCATCAAAAAACCCCTGCATTATACTACCATCATGAGCAGCAGGGTCTGCATCCTGCTTATCTTCTGCTCTTGGTTGGCTGGGCTCCTGATTGCTGCCCCAGCAGTCCTAATGGTTAGTTTCCTGGACTTCTGCTCATCCAATATAATAAATCATTATTACTGTGATACTACTCCCCTTCTAAAGCTCTCCTGCTCAGACACCAGCCTGGTAGAGCTGGTTGATTCACTCTTAGCCATAGTGACACTGATGTCCACCTTAGGGTTGGTGATTGTCTCCTATTCAAACATCGTTCAGACAATTCTCAGATTTCCTTCTGCCCAGCAAAGGAAAAAGGCCTTTTCCACCTGTTCTTCCCATATGATTGTCATTTCTCTCTCCTATGGCAGCTGTGTCTTCATGTACATTAAACCCTCAGCAAAGGAAGATTTTACCTTCCATAAGGAGGTAAGTATGTTTCCAACTTCAATCACCCCCCTGCTAAATCCTTTCATTTACACCCTAAGGAACAAACAAGTGATACAGGCCTTCAAGGACTTGGTTCAAAAGATCATGAATCATTAATGAGATATACAATTCAAGCCTGCATGAAAAACCAGCAGAAAAAGGGTGAATGAAGCAATAGCTGTCTCAAAATAATCTCTCTGACTTATTTAACAAAAATGTTAAGGGCCTACTGCATGCAAAGTATGGTGATAGGTGCAGAGGGGATGCAAAGACAAACAGACAAAAAGTTGTCTCAAGGAGCTTACATTGTGTTGGGGAAATACTTATACCTAGATAAATAAAAATACAATCCAACCAAACATATTCAAAATATTTTCAAGAGAGGATATTACAAACTAGAGATACCGAGCCTAAGAAAGATGGACTTCTAAGATGAATGATGACACCTCATACCCATCAGATTGGCTAACATGACAGAAAAAGAAAATGACATGTTGGAGGGGATATGGGAAAATTGGGACACTCATGCATTGTTGGTGCAGTTGTGAACTGATCCAACCATTTTGGAGAGCAATTTGGGACTATGTTCAAAGGGCTATCAAGCTATGCATACCCTTTGACCCTAGGTCTGTATTCCACAGAGATTTTTCAAAAAGAGGAAAAGGACATATATGTACTAAAATATTTATACAACTCTTTTGGTGATGGCCAAGAAATGGAAATCAAGGGGATGCCCATCAATTGAGAAATGACTGAACAAGTTGTGCTGTGTAACTGTAATGGAATTTTGTTATAAGAAATGACAAGCAGGATGCTTTCAGAAAACCTGGGAAGACTTACATGAACTCATGCAAAGTAAAATAAGCAGAACCAGCAGAACATCGTACACAGCAACAGCAACATTGTATGATGATCTACTGTGAATAACTTAGCTATTTTCAACAATACAAAGATTCAAGATAATTCCAAAGGACTTATGACGAAAAATGCTATCCACCTCCAGAGAAGGAAATGATGGAGTCTGTATGCAGACTGAAGCATACTATTTCTTACTTTATTTTTTCATGGTTTTTTTTTTGCTCTGCATTTTTTTTCACACCATAACATTACTAATATAGGAATGTATTTTGCATGACTGCAAATGTGTAACCTATATCAAATTGCTTGCCATCTCAGGGAAGGGTGAAGTGAGAATGTGAAAGGACGGGTAGGAGGGAGAGAATTTGGAACTCAAAATTTAAAAAAAGAATGTTAAAAATTGTTTTTACATGTAATTGGAAAAATAAAATATTTTTAAACTATTAAAAAAGATGACTAGTGAGAGAGAGGTACATTCCACACATGGGGGACCCCATATATAAAAGAGCAAAAGCATAAGATAGGATGTCATGTACTATGAGGCTAATTTATCTAGAAAATAGAGTATAAGTAATATGAGATACAGTAAGAGTGGAAAGGTAGGCAAGAGACAAACTAAAAGGATTCAAATTCTAGGATGAGGAATTTGTATCTTATTCTAGAAGCACTAAGAAGCCAATGAAGACGTCTGAGCAGAGGAGCTCCTCTGTATGGTTGGATATGTGTTTTCTGTACTTCAGCTGCACTGGCAGCTATGGGAGCATGGATTGGTGAAGAAAGAGATTGACATTAATGGTCCAAACTGGAACCAATAAGCACCTGAACTGGGGCAGGGAATCTGCGAGTAGAGAAAATAGGACAGATGTGAGATAGGTAGTACAGGTAGAATCAAAAAGACTTGGGAAATGAGGTAACATAGAGGGTAGATGGATGACTCCAAGGTTATAAACTGAAAGGTCAATAGATCTTTCAACACAAAGTAAGGAAGCGGTAGTTTGGATAAGGGGCACGTATCAGGGGATAATACATAATATCTCTATTAGGACACAGTGAGTTTGAGATGCCTATGCAACATCTGAGTGAATATATCTCACGTAGGACTAAGATTCAGGGTACAGAATAGAGCAAGACGTTTAGATTTGAAAAGCATGTGCTCAGAGGTGATAATTGAGCTCATGGGACTTAATAAGAAAAACAATAAAGTGAGTATAGGAAGGAGAAGAGGCCTCAGGACAGAACCTTGAGAAGCACAAACATTTAGTGGGCAAGAAGAGCAAGAAGGTAATCCACAAAGGAGCCTGAGAAGGCATGGTCAGAGAGGTATGAGGAGAAACCAAAAGAGATAAGGGCCATAAAAACCAGCAAAGGGAGACTGTCTAGGAGGATGTGGTGGTTGACAGTCACATAATCATTGAAGCATCCAAATAGAATGGTGACTGAGAAAAGGCCATTGGATTTTATAGTTAAGAGAACCTTGGCAACACTGGGGTGAGCAGTTGTAGTTGGGAGATAGGGTCAGAAAACAAACTGCAAGATAGTGAAAAGAGGGTGGAGGCAGCAATAAACATAGCCCTCTATAGGAATTTTGCCAATGAAAGGGAGAAGAAAATAAAGAAAAATAGCTTGATGGAATGACAGTGCCAAATAAAGTTGTTTTTATTTTTTAAAGAATGAAGGGGTTTGGGAATATTTGCAAATGTCTAGGAAGGATCTAGTGGATAAGCAGAATTTGATGATAAGGGTTTAACAACCTCAGTCAAGGAGTTTGACAAAACTCTGAGATTTGTAATTCTTCTCATTTGAAAAAGAACAAAAAACAAATGGGAGATCAGCCCTCAGATGGGCGGGTAAATGGAGGTTATTCATATGCAAAGTATCATGGGAGTTTGGAACTTTCAAAGGGAAGTAATAGAGAAATGGGTTGTTCCTTACCATCAGCATCACCATGGCAACAGCCAGTGACTGCAATGTCTGCAGTTCCCTTCTTTAAGAGCATGAAGGATGATGACCTCTACATGGAAAAGCAGAGAGGTATACGACTGTGTTTTTATCACAGGCCCTTATTGCAGTAAGAGGAACACAGAGAAACAAAGCAAGAGGAATGGGTCATCCCAGCCCAGCCCCAGCCTCACTTCTATTTAATTGTGTCTTCTAATAATGTTTAATGATGTATTTCTCTTGTTTAACATTCTCCTAAAATATTCTCATATTCTCTGTGGTCAACCCCATCCATTGTTTATCAGAGCTACACAGGAGAGTGACCTTTCCTAACTCTCCACTGGGAGCTCAACCACCAGACAGGCTACATCTCACTTAGGGTTTTAAGGCAACAGAGGAATAAGGGAGTATTTCTTTCCTGTCTCTCCTATTTTACTTAACTTGTGAAGGAGGGAGATGCTAACATTTCAGTTCCATTTAACTACTTAACATCAATTGGTTTTTACAAAGTAATATTTACTTCACAAATACAGAAAAACATTTCCCCCAACATCTTAGGGCATATCCCTCTATACCACCTCCATCTGGTAAGAGGAGGGTAGGCTCAAAATTTTGCTCATTTCCTATATAGTTTTGGTCCCACAAAGTTCATGTCTAAAGGTGACATGGCCGCCAAATGAGTACTTCACCTGGGTTGGGATCACGAAGGATTACACCTTGCTTCTCAGGGCTTCTGTGCCCTGCTACCTGTAAAAGCCAGCCTGGATCCCAACTCCCAGATTTCTGTGCCTTGCTCTCCCAATGTTGGAGACTACTCTCCCTTTACCAGGCACCTAATGAGTCACTGAGATCATCTGGAAGTGAATAAACAGCTGAAGCAAATTGGTTTTTTTTTTAATAACTCCACATCTATGGTTAGTCAACCAAAACCAGTTACAGAATGTCTATGCATGCTCCATGACCTGTCTCACCAATGCACTTCCCTTACTCATCATCAGTTTTCTCCCAGAAGTAACTCTCCAGAATACTTCACATGAAGATTTCATCTAAGGTACTATATGCATGAGCCATACCCCTATTAGAATAGCTATCATTTTTATATTAAATAGTTGACCTTGGCAAAAAAAAAGAAGGGGAGAAGGAACCACTTCATCAAAGACTAAAACTAAGCATGAGAGGACAGGAAGGTGAAGAAGATGAAATTTGAGGTGTGGGGTATAGGACGGAGTGCACAGCAGGTGCGCTATTTTCTCAGTAAAATAGGAAATGAGAGTGCTCTTCAGACGCACATATCCTAAAACTGGAATGATACAAAGAAGATTAGCATGATCCCTATACAAGGATGACTTTCAAATTCATGAAACATTCCATATTTTTTGTCATATAAGAGGACTCTTCTGGGAGAGAAAACAGGAGGGAGAGTTAGAATAACTATGATGGGGGGGCAGCTAGGTGGCGCAGTGGATAGAGCACTGGCCCCGGAGTCAGGAACACCTGAGTTCAACTCAGGCCTCAGACACATAACACTTACTAGCTGTGTGACTCTGGGCAAGTCACTTAACCCCAATTGCTTTGCCCCACTCCTACCCCAAAAAATGTACATTTGGAATAACTATGATGATGCAAAAATAAGAAAATATCAACAGAAACTTATTTTTAAAAAATAGAAAATGATGACTACTGATAAGGGAGAAAATGAGGTGGGTTAATAAGATATGAAAGAGGAAAAGGTTTAAAATAGGTACTGTGGAGAATGTAAGAGTTAGTTGAACAAAAATAAGAGGATTTTCCTGCAGCAATTAGAGACTGGATAATAAAAATTTATAATAAACTCATTCAGACATATCTGCATGATTTTCCCCCTTCCCCACAACTTTTCAATCACACATCAATAAAAATAGGAAAGAAGAGAGAAGGATAATTCAGAGTTAGAGGTTGGCATGAAGTTATTATCAATAAGACCAAAGAGCAAAGAATTTAAGGAGAGAAAACTAATTTGGCAAAGTTGAATCAGTCCACCACTGGTCTTACGTAGTGAAGAGGGGAAAACGAGACCAGAGTAAGAGAGAATAGATTTGGAAAACAAGAAAAGTCAAAGAGAGAACAAAGAATGGATTTAACAGTGAATAATGTGTGTGTGTGTGTGTGTGTGTGTGTGTGTGTACACACACATATACATTCATATATATGTGTGTGTATATATGTGTATGTATTGTGTGTGTGTGTGTGTGTATATACACACACTTAATTGTAGCCTTCTTGAGGGGGGAAGGAGGGAAAAGAACAAAGTGAAAAGTGCACAGTAGAGAACAAAATAAAACCTACAAGGAAGTAAAGAAAAAATGGACAGCACTGAACACAACGTATAGCATTTATTACATAGGCTTTCTTGAAATGGAAATTTATTGCTTTATACTTTGAATCCTCTCTTATGTTCTGCTGTGCACATGGCAATTTTTTTCCTTTTCTTATTTTGTATTTGTTTGTTTCTTTTTTTATTTTGTATTTAAATTTAAAACAAAAATTTATTTAAAAAAAGTATGATGGAGAAATTCAAGGTTATTAGACCTTGATTAGAGAGAAGTTCAGATTAATGGATTATGGAATCAGTACAGTTATGGGTGATGGGTATAATCAAGGGTGTAGTCATCCCTGTGTTTAGTTAAGGTGAAAGTGAAGGTGGAGATCAGGGGAGTTTGGGAGGTTGATGAACTAAAAAGTCAGGGTGTTTAGGGGACATGTGTATGTAGCAGGTGCCCTTCATTTTCCTTCCCACACAGTTCCAAACCTGCTCAGTCAATATTCCTGAGGACCAGGAAAAAGTTAGAGTGGCCTGGCTTCTGGCCATGTATGATGCATCACTGAGTCCCTTAATTAACTGCTAATCCCAACAACCTGATGACTCAGGGGAGCTATTAAAAGGAGACAGTTTTCAGCTTTGGCCTCTTGGGTGAGATTCTCTAAGCATCAAGGTATGATTCTAGTGAGAGATGGAGGACAGTCGTCTGCTATGATGTCATGTGGATACCACTACCACCTTTTCCCATATAAAGTATATAAACCCCTTGGCAGTCTTTGCCCATTTGCTTTTGTTCTTTCCTGGTCTCACATGAACTAGTAACCTGAAAGGGGTGTGTCCCAAAGATGCTGTAAGTTCAAAAGATCTAGACATCTCATCAGAGGTTCCATCGATGGTCAGGTTTGAAGGGCAACAACAGTGGTGTCCACTGGATGGCAGTGGTTGGTGGCAGGAAAAGCTCCTGAAAAGGAGGATTTGGCAAAGACCAGGGAAGTGACCAACAGAAAGAAAATGAAACTTAGCTATTTGAGTAGATAGTGCAAAGCAAAGATGAAATGTAAAATGACTAGCACTATTGCAACACTATTTTATGCAATGATGAGGCTGTCCTAACAGCTTGCCAATAGATTTTAATAGTAACACCAGATTAAATTTCTGAATTTGGTTCTAATCATTCTATAATGTATGCTATGATTATTTGTATAGTAGTCATTGCTTTCTGAGTAGAATAACTGATCTGTACTATATTTTTATGCATACTGCACCCTGGATCTTTTTTTTTTTTTTTTACTTTGCACTGTCTGCTCAAATAGCTTAAGTTTCATTCTCTTTCTGTGGTTCTTTGATGACTAATAAAATTGAAAAGCGTTAGCCAATCTGAATAAAAAGAAGAGAGCAGGAAACTAAATCAACAAAATATCAAATGAACAAAAGGAAATTACAATAAAACCAGAAGAAATAAAAAGGATAATCAGAATCCATTATTCATATGCTTACATAACTAAGAATACAGAAGAAATAGATGAGTGTCTTCAAAATACTAAATACTTAAACTGACAGAAGACCAGATAGAGATGTTAAATAAGCCAATATCAGAAAATGAAATAGAACTAGCTGTAAAGGAACTATCAAAGAAAAAACTCTTGGCCTTACGTATTCAAAGAAAAAAATCTATCAAACTTTTGAAGAACAATTAATGTGCAAATTATTCTTGAAAACTGAGGGAAAAAACATTCTACCAGAATCTTTTTATGATTCAAATATAGTTCTAATACCTAAACTAGGAAAAAATAAAACACAGGAGAATCATAAACCTCGGGTTTCCTCAGCTGTAAAGTATGGAGTAATAATAGTTCCTACATCACAGGATCAAATGAGATATAATATTTGTAAAGTGATTAGCACAGTTTTTGGTATGCAGGCTTAATAAATGCTTACCTTTTTCCTACTAATCTTCCCTATTTACCAAAAAGTAAGATCATTGTTGAAACACTACCCAGATTCATCACCAGATGGGATACTGGAACCAGTCTGTCAAAAAGATTATATTGGCCCATTCAATAACAAAAACTAATGCTTAGCATCAATTTGCATGCCATTCACATGTGTGTGGGACTAAGTTTTGTTCTCCCCTGTCCACAAGTAGACAGTGACTCCCATATTGAAAGACTAAGTTTATTGATTGGCTATTATAGTTTGCCTGTGATGGTGGCAAGGAATCAAGGATCACCCTTCACTGCCCACAAAGTCAAAATCTGGACTGAATCCCAAGGAACCACAGAATTTTCATTTCTCTTATAATCTCTAAGCTGCTGGAATGATAGAAACATTTAATGGAATGCTTAAGAAACTCCCAAGAAAACAAAGGCCACCAGTTGGAAATACCAGTCATTAGAATAGTGGTGAGCCAAGTGAATGATAGACCTAGGAGAACCCATCCCACATGCCTTCTGCCGTCATCTCCACCCTCTTGACCCTTGTTTCCTATAATCAGGTAGCCTTTCTCATCATCAAAACAAACCTCTCTACATGCACAAGTGATCTCATTCCATCCAATCTTTTCTGAAAGATTGCCCTTTCTATTTTCTCCCCTTTCACTTACCTTCAATCTCTCCCTGTCTACTGGACACTCCCTTATTGCTTACAAATTTGCCTATGTGTCCATCCTCAAAAAACCCTCATTTGATCCATCCATCTTCTCTAGATCTTGTCCCATTTTTCTCTTCTCTTTTGAGATTAAACATATTAATCTGTAACAATTAACTAATTAATATACAACAATTACCTCCTTTTCCTGTCCTCTCACTCTCTTACTAACTCCATACAGTCTGGCTTCTAACCTCATCATTCACTGCTCTTTCCAAATGTACTTAAAGCTCTCTTAACTGCCAACTTTAATGGCCTTTTTGCTATCCTCATCCTTCATCTCTCTGCAATCTTTGACACTGGTGATCACCCTCTTCTCCTTTGTGCTCTCTTCTCTCTAGGGTTTTGTGATATCACTCTCCTCCTACCTGTCTAACTATCTACCTCACTCTGCCTTGCTGGTTCTTCATCCAGGTCATACCTGCTAAATATGGGTATCCCAGAAGGTATCATTTGCTGGGCCTTCTTCTCATCTTACTCTGTACTATTTCACTTAGCGATCTTATCAACTTCCATAGACTCGATTATCATTTCTGATGATAATTCTCAAATCTGCTTATCCAGCCCTAAGCTCTCATCTGATGTCCAGTCTCTCATCACCCACTGCCTAATGGAATTCTCAAACTGGATTTCCTGTAGACATCAAATCTGAACTAATTATCCTTCCCTTGCCCTAAACCCTCCCATCTTCCTAACTTCCCTATTACTGCCAAAAGTACCACCATCCTCTTCATAACCAAGGCTCTCAAACTAATTGTCATCCTTGAACACTCACTCTCTCACTCCCATATCCAATCAGCTACCAAGGTCTCTCCCATACACCCATTTCTGTCTTCTGACACTGCCAATGCACAGGCCCCCAAATCTCTTCAAACATACATGGAAAAAATATGAAGGAAGGCTTGCTGGAAGTACTCTTGGGAAAAGAGCTAGAGAGATGGGAGAGATCTCTATTTGCTCCCTCATATCCTATCTTGAAGGAATTCTCTATCATTTCTAGAGATGGGCTAGAAAGAAATAATAGATAATGACAAGTAGACATGGGGAATCACACACGGAGGCACACATACATATGTGGACTTTATATACATACATATATACACACATACACATATATACACACAGATGTCCCAAAAGTCTTAGTGCAGTTTTAAGCTTTAATAGCTTAAATAAAGCTATTAATATCTTAAAGTTATTAAAGCTTAAAACTGCACTAAAACTTTCAGGACATGCAGTATATACATAAATGTGAGTATTCACACACACACACATACAAAAACAAAAGCACATACAAACACCCTCAATAATGGGGAAGGGAAAAAAAGAAGATATAAATCTAAGAAAGACATGACTACATGAATGGAGGGATCAAAGGAAAACTGAGCCTTGTAGTCATGATAAAGGAATGGAAATGGGAAGTGGATAACAAAAA